GGTGCTGTATTGGTTTTTTAAGTGGTCGTTCTGGCAGACAGAAGAAGTGTACAAAAGAAAGGAGAAGAGAGAAGAGGAGATATCCAGAACCGCGATGAGCTCATCCGGAGTAGTGCGTCAGGGCATGCGGTGGACCACCTGACACAGTCCCCAAGAACCGCATGAAAGTGGTGTGGTTTCTTTCTTGCGCCAGTAATCCAAACTGGGTGAAATTTCCTTCTCTGCTTGCGAACCGGCGTGGGCCGCTCGGAGTTCTCTATTTTGTTTGGGGAACGTGGCACTCCCTGCCCACGAAGTGTGGTAAGGTCAAGAGTGATGAGAGGAGGGCCGGTAGTAGTGAGTGTACACTGAGGCAAACTCGTAGCCAGCGCACGCTAGGCTCCATGCCGCACTTACCTCAGCTCTTCTCTTACGTTCTTTGGTGCAGCTGGACCAATAGGTGCTAGGAGACAAGGTTCTCTCAAGAAAAGGGGAGAAAAAAACCCAAAACAAATTCCCATCAACACCATGCAAGGTAGGTGCCTCCACCAGATACGCACGGCCACTGCCAGCACCCCACCGTTGACGCACCCCTCCCCCCATCCACCTGTTTACTCCCGGCGGCGCAAGGTGGCGCGAAGCTGCTGGTGGCACCTCGGGCACAAGGGCCGAGAGTGGTGGCGGGCCTGAACACTGAGGGCGAGGTCATACGGCGCGTTGTGGCAGCGAACAACCACTGCCTGTTCACCTCGCTGGGGTACGGTCACCACAACCTTTATTTTATTATTTCATTTACATTTTTACATTTATTTATATATTTATTTTTTTCTTTTTGTACAGATATGTGCTGGAGGATCACAACCGTGATGCGGGCCTCAAGCTGCGACAGGTCATAGCCGACGTGGTCAAGAGTGGTATGCTCGACCTAACACTGAACTGTGTTGGTGTCGATTGGTGCAACTGAGGCATCTCCAGACCCAGAGACCTACAACGCCGTGTTCCTGGATCAATCCAACGAAGACTACGTCAAGTTCATCCTCAACCCCGAAAGCTGGGGCGGTACCCATCCCTCTCTGCGCCTCGCTGAGGTTCAGCACTCGGCTTACCACTACTCTCCTACTCACACTTACCTGCGTCGCGCAGGCGCCATCGAGCTCTCGATTCTGTGTAAGTACTACCAGACGGAGATTGCGGCTGTGGACGTGCAGAGTTTGCGTACCGACGTCTACGGCCAAGGCGAAGGCTATCCCGAGGCACGGCCGACCTTGGCTCCCATGGGCAGGAACGACTTGACATTGCTTGTGATTAATCGTCTCTTCACGTGCGTGCGTGCGTTGTGTGTGTGTGTGTGCGTGTGTGTGTGTGTGTGCGTGTGCGTGTGCGTGTGTGTGTAGCGAGTCTTGCTCCTCTACGATGGCATCCACTATGGTATGTACTCGCTAGCGCGACTGTCACCTTAATTTGACCAACCACACTGAGCTGAGGTGCTGCTGTCCATAATCAGATCCCTTGGCTCTGACCTTCGACGCCAGTCTTCCGGAGGAGTGCGATGTAACCGTCTTCTCGGTCGACGATGACTACGTCATGGCCAAGGCTCGTGCAGTCGCCGAAGCCGCGCAAAAGGCACCGCACCCCACACACGCACACGACATCACAACACAACGCGACCTGACTTCAATGTGTTCTTGTTCAACAACTACACCCAAAACAGAAGAAGAAATTCACCGACACGGCACGCTTCACGCTGCAGTGCATGATCTGCTACGAGGGGCTCACCGGCCAGCAGGCCGCCGTGGCGCACGCCCAGAAGACCGGCCACACCAACTTCGGCGAGGTGGGTCCGTGAAGACGAATGTTCAATGAACAAAAGACTATTTTCTTGTGACTTGTATGTACAGTGGTTGTGTGTGTGTTTGTTAAGACTCGCGCTCGTGGCGGAAGGTGGCTTCGCGCCAGAGGCTGTAGGCGAAGAGTTGCTGTTGCTGGCGATGCGCCGCCACTCTGGCCGCGATAGGCCGCCGCCGCCGCCGGCCGGCGGCCATCCGCTCCTGCCACCACCTCAGGCTGGTCACTTGCGCCGCCCTTTCGTCCGCCCGGGTCTCGTCCCTGTCGTCCAGACTGGTTGCACCATCCCTCGCCTCTTGCATGTTGGCCACTTCATTGCGGTTGCTTCGTCGGTCGTGGCCCACGCATGAGATGCGAATAAACACTGAGTTCAGGTGTGGCATGGCTTGTGTTGGGTGGGGTACAGTTGACGAGGCTGAGGTCGGCCTATTTAAGGCTCCGGGCATAGTACTATGGGAATGACCCAACAAATCCCACCGCAGTGTCGGCGAAAATTCACATTACACCTGGTTGCTGGCCAATAGGCGTCAACTGAATAGTGTTCCTGCGGGCGTTGCGGTAATGTTTTTTCTTTTTCTCTTTCGCTACTGCTCCCAGCTGGTTCGGGGCTGCTGCTGCGAGATGCAGTGCATGCCGCCACCGCCAAAGTTGACGTTCTCGCAGTCGATCTGCACGATCTTGTGGGCCGGGAAGGCCGCCTGCATGATCTCCCGCGCGGCGTCGTCGGTCCGCTTGACCGCCGCCGGCCGGCCCTCGCCGTGGTACCGCGGCATCAGCACCACGCCGTTGGAGATCAGGAAATTGCAGTAGCTACCGGGCACCACGGCTTCGACTTCCACCGGCGCCGCATCGTCGAGGCCGCGCTCACGCCGGCGCTCGGCCACGATCTGCTCGAAGGTGCGGCCGTCGCGGAAGGTGATGGCGCCGTACTCGGTGTAGAGGCGGTCGGTGGGCTTGACCGTGACGATGTCGATGGGCGGCAGCGGGATGCGGATGATGGTGAACGGGTTGCCGTCCTGGTCGGTCTCGCCGGCCAGGATGCGGTAGTTCTCCTCCAGGCGCTCGTGGCTGATCCGGCCGATCGGATGGTCGCGATCCTCCTCCCGCACCTCAGCCAAAAGAATCGTCGTCGGGCTCACAAACCGGGCGTACTGCGCACACAACCAATTATGAGACACGACACGACACACACGCGACACACACACGACACACGACACGACACACGACACACACGCGACACACGCGACAGGATGTGGCACCTCATCGATGTGGCCGCCGGTGCAGGGCATGGTGAAGACGCCGCCGGGCAGAGGCCCGTTGAAGATCTGGTCGTCTTCGGCCACGCCCTGCTTGAGCCAGATGACCTTGTGCACGTTGAACACGCTCTTGAACCGGTCGGTGAGCTGGTCCCGGGTCAGGTGCGGGTTGCGCTGCAGCTGCACGGCCTCGGTGACCATCAGCGTGCCGCGGCCGTTGAACTCACGATCGCCGCCCTCCGACACAAAGTCGGTGGCGTCGACGGTCGCCAGCGACAGCGCGCCGGCCACCCGCCGGGCCACGCCGCCGTCCGAGTCGATCATCTCGGCGAACTCGTCGGGCGGCATGATGGGCCGCAGGCCGTCGGCGTAGCCCCACACGCTCCAGCGAAAGTCGACCACCTTGAGAGGCTGGCTCGCATCGACGTTCTGCGATTTGAGGAAGATCGGGGCCAAAATCGCGCATCCAGATGCTGTCGTGTTTCACGAGATGAAACGCGAGATCGTTTTCGCCATTCGATGAGGAAGAGGAGGAGGAGGAGGATGACGCTTGCCGCTGGAGCAGCGCTTCGCGGATGATTTGCTCTTCGTCTTTGGTGTTGACGATTACCGCCACCTTGACGTGGGGCCGGAGCGATTCGATCATGTCGAGCAGGACCGGCGCGAACGGACGACCCGCCAGCATCTCCGTGGGGTCACGCGGCCAGCTCAACCACACGCATTCTTGCGGCTCGAACTCGGCCGGAACGTGTACGTGTTGTCACCGCCCG